TAAATAAATATAGTAGGTACTTTATTTTTTAATTTACTTAATAACAAGGAAAGGGATTTTCTGTTAATTTCCCTATATTTTTTGTAGAAATATAATGTAGTCCACTGGACTAAAGAATATTATACTTCGTTGGGCACCTGAGGTGTCCAATGAAATATTGGGCGGTGATGAAGATAGTGGGATCCACCAATGGTAGTCATGCTATGTTTTGTTGCATCCCATTTTCCTTCACTGACTGTCATTTCATTGAGATGGTTATTACCCCAGTGGACCTTGGTTTTCCTTTGTCCTTCCGACTGCTGTATGCTTTTACTTTCTTTTAACATTTACCACTCCGAGAGTGAGGATAATTTTTTTACTGCTGTATACTTTTCCTTTCTTTTAACATTTACCGCTCCGATAGTGAGGATAGTTGAGGATTCTAAGTTTGGTTGGTACAAGGTCTTGCGAATTGAACTAGAGGATCCAGCTCCCTCTTTGGTCTCTTCAGAACCCCTCATGCATCGTATTGTTAAATATCTGGCTCTTGCCGCCTCTACAAAAACCAAAGAGCAAGATCCTCAAACACACGCCCAAACCTCATATATCCAACCGGCCATTCTTCGTCTCATGATCACTTGGCTCGGGGACTGCCCCAATGCAGTTGATACCTTTCTCTCCTCGCCAGCCCATCTCCCATATCTGATAGAGCTCATATTAAACTCAAATTCTAGCCCTCATACTAAGGGCTTGGCGGCCATTCTTTTGGGTGAATGCGTAGTCTTTAACAAATCGATGGAGGATGGACGAGATGCCTTCATGGTAGTTGATGCCATAAGCCAAAAGATTGGGCTCACTGCTTATTTTATGAAAGTTGAGGAGTTGCAAAGAACCAATGTCTTTGTCTCGTCGATATCTGGACCATCCACTCGAAGGCCTCTCTTGAGATCAACGACTGAGGCCACCGAGGTGGGGGATATGCAAGGGCAGGATGAGGGAGAGAAGCATGAGCATGTGTTCCTGGTATCTCTATTTGATGGGGCGTTTGTTGAGTTCATAAAGAGTTTGGAGGTGAGAATAAGGGAAGGTGTGGTTGAGATATTCAGTCATCCCAAGAAGAAGGTGGCAGCTGTGCCTTCCGACTTAGAGCAGCAACAAGGAGAGGGAGATAGGGATTACATTACTCGGCTTAAGGACTTCATTGAGAAGCAGTGCTTAGAGATGCAGGTAAATCCTTAATCGCATGCTAAGAGAAAAAATTGGTAATAGGCAAAGTATGCTACAATTGAATTAAAGAACATCTCAGTCAATTGGGATCATCACCATCCAATGTTATGGAGATAAACTGGGAACCAGCAAAAGAGAACATGATCCCATCAATCTGAATTTAATTGGACGGTGATGACCCAATGGAGTATTATTCTATTAGATTATATTCTACTCCCTTGCAAAAATGGGTGCCTTCAGACTCAACTACTTTTTAACAACCATTGGTCATTGGTAGAATGAATCTCTCTCTCTCTCTCTCTCTTAATTGAGAGATTGTGTCGTGTCTAAACACGCTCTCTCATAATTGTTCACTGTTGCCCTATTATGTCTCATTGATCATGTGGCATCATGTCTAATTGTGCCTTTTGAGTGCATCAGGATCTTCTTGGTCGAAATGCAGGACTCGCCGAGGACTTAGCCCAGACAAGGGGCGAGGGTGCCATCACCGACATATCTGCTTATGGTGGTAGAGAGAGAGTGCATTCCGAGCCCCTTCACCGCGAGCTTCACGAGGCCCAGCAGCGCATTGAGACCCTCAAATCCGAGAAGGCCAAGGTTGAAGCTGACTCATCAAAGAGCCTCCAAATGGCCAAAAAGCTTGAATTGGATCTCAAAAGCCTCTCCGATGCATATAATAGTTTAGAGCAAGCCAATTTCAGGCTTGAATCTGAGGTTAAGGTCCTAAGAGTAGGAGGAGGTATAGGCGACTTAGAGGCTGCGAAGGCTGAGGTCAGGGCAGAGGTAGAGAGAGAGACTGAGGCCGAGCTTAATGATTTGTTGGTTTGTTTGGGTCAAGAGCAAAGCAAGGTCGAGAGGCTTGGTTCGAGACTTATGGAGCTTGGAGAAGATGTGGATTCTTTGCTTGAGGGGATTGGTGATGAAAGTGGTTTGGCTGAAGAAGGTGAAAGCGAAGATTGAAAATCATTGGAAAAAAGCTTGTATCCTATAGGACTAGGTGCTTAGGTGTCCCAATCACTCCTAGAAATCAGATTTCAAATCCGGCGTCTTTGGATGCAATACAAAGTTTGGGGATTTTTTTTATTTTTATTTTTTTCTTTTTGGGTCTTTCAGAATGGCAACCCAGAATCGTGCAATTTTACATCTAACGTCTAGGCGGCTGTGACCTTCTTGTAAGGATCTTATCTTGTACTCTTATGGAAAGAAGGTGGGTCGGGATTGAGACAATTGCTGCCCTGGGTTTGTTATTTATGCTTAATTGCTTTATTTATGGGTGAAGAATAAGCTGTTCTGTATAGCTGAACTTGTACAGTTTTATGTATTGGATAGGGATTTTCTTTGTTAGGGGGGCCTTGAGAATCTGGTTGAATTTCTTACTCAGAAGTAACGGATATAATGGTAATGGTGCCACCTGTTAATGTAAATAACAAGTCATTAGAGAGGGTAGGGGTCTGGTGCATTTACTGACTCTGCCCATCCAAAGTCCATCTTGAAGATGGATTTTAGATCCAAAATTTCAAAGATCATCTGATTTGCATTGCTTTTGGAGTTATGATTTGATGAATTTGAGGTAGAAATGGATTTGCAGTGATTTGGAATGTGTTTTGGGTCCTAGAATCGGTATAAACCAGAGCGGATGAATGAGTTGCTGGAGTCGCCGAGAACTTTTCTGTGTAGGAGCTTTGTAATTGTTGTGTTTAATGGCAGTATTACAAGGATATCAATATTTTTAGAAAGGAAAAGGTTGAAATGTTTTTTAATGTTAGTTTTTTTTATGTGCTTATCCTTGTTTTAATGGCAGCTTTTCCATAAAAGCATTTGGTTTTGGTTCTAGTCCCGCTCTCTTCATCACCAGCCAACCTTGTAGCTGAATGGGGATAATTGTGATGAACACATGACCCTGTAGCTGATGGTGATCATTATGATGAACACATGACCCTGTACCTGAATCGTAAAGAAAGTTACGACCCTTGCATGAAATCATTCCCCTTAGGTTTTCTTATTTTTAATATCAGTGGCTCTTTCCAAACTAAAACCGATTATTAGAAGAAAAAGGTTTCTATACGTCCCTTACGGCATAGATGATCTATGCTTCCCCTACCATCCAACCGTCCAATTTTGATTAAGAGAGTTGTTCACCATTTGATTTTAGATATGTTTCAAAGTATTTTATTTTTAGTTTTTTTTATACATATTATATGAATATGAAATTTAGTATATGCCATCTTCTCATTGGTGTGCACTTATAAAAAATATTAAAAATAATTTTTTAATAAAATATAATGACTAAAATACTCTTTGAAATGTTTAGAGGTATTTTGGTTATTTTATTTTATTGGAAATATTTTTTTATATGATTTGCTTGTATGATTTTAATAGAGGATTGGACGTACAAAATTTGGTGTTAAGAAATAATTAAAAATAAAATAATGTAGAGACGTGACATTGTGATTGGGGCAATCTTAGCTTTATATTCAGAATGGACTGTTAGATGAGGAGAAGTATATAAGTTTTATGTTGTAGAGAAAGCATAAAGATGAATTTTTTATCCAAATATTTAGGAAACATGATCTAGGTCAAGGTGATCATATATACAAGAACAAACAAAATTTTTATAATTTAAAATACACGTTTTTGAGGGATCTTGTTTGCACCGTCCAAGTTATTTTGGTCCTGTGCAGGTTTACCTTTAGCGGGTCAGCGGGCCCTTGTGTCCGCTGACTCACAAAACTTTTCAACCGAAAAATCCCTACATTCACATAAAACATAAAAGGGTAGATGCTACCGCATGGCAAATTGTTCACTTACTCCCTCCAGTGAAAAAACTGTTTGGAATGAGTTTTTCAATTTGAAATTCTAAGACCCACAAAAGAATTACAAAATAATTATTTCCAAAAAGCAAAAAAAATTGATATTGAGTTTAACATGTGATAATCATCATCATTATTATAGCTTTTTTTCAATTAATTAAGATTGGCTACACGAATTTAATAATTAATCATACTTTTAAATACTTAGGTGCTCTATTCAATCTTGTGACATTCTGCGTTTGTAACGCACATGAGTTTGATTCGAATTTCTTTTTTTCTTTTTGGGAAGTTATTCGCTAGGTTAAAGAGCTTGCATTGCCAAAATTAAGGGTCTCAAAGTATTTTTAATTGATATTTTACCCAGGGAGATGGAGAGGATCCCTTGAGGGAGCACAAATATTTTGACTATTAGAAAATAAAAATATCACATTTTTTAACTGTTATTTTTTTTTGACAAATTGATGCATGGAGAAAATAAAACTGGAACAATAAAAATAAAATAAAATAAATCATTGAGAGAATATACCCTATCAAAATATGCAAGTGAATTAACCCAAAAAACAAGGTCGTCAAGGGAATCTACCCCAAAAAAAATCTTATCACAAGATCAATTTGATTCAACTCTAATTATTTGATCATTGTCTAATTTGTTTATAATGATGGAGCTCTTACCTTTAAATAGACTTCAAAACAAAAAAGAAATAACTAAAAAAGACCTCTCTCTAACTTTGACAAATTTCCCTTTTTTTCTCTCCCCTCCCTATTTTCTTTCTTATCTTTTCTCTCTCTCACGTACCATCTTTATAATTATTTCTTAAATCAAAATATCTTTATCTTATCTATATGTTATTCTCTAAATTAAAAATATTGACTTTCCCAAATCAAATCACGCACAAAAAATGCTCTCTCCTCTTACCTAACTTTATCCTTATCTTAGCTCTCTCCCTATTCTTAATTAAAAATAAAAATAAGTAAACTCTAATATTTATTTGTATCACAAATGTTTCTTTAATTGCCTTAAATGAAATGAACTTTGAAAACAGCATTAAAAAATCATATACTTTTACTAATAAGTAGGAAAATAGTTTGATAGGGCTACAGTCCTATCAAAATAAATAAATCCTCACCTCATAAGTCATTGAAAATTGCAAGTCAAGCACTAGAAAAACGGTACATCGATCATCTCGACGTGAACATTATACTTGTAAAAAAAAAAAAAAGTTTCAAGCTCTAAAATTTATAATAAATTATCTAGATCATTCATTTTGCCTTAAAAATAAGTGCCCGCCTATCGACAAGACCTATACAATTTTTAACTTTAAATATTTTCGAGCCATCATCGAGATTTCGTTACCCGATAGTGTTTTCTAGACGAGGATTAGAGGTGAGGCTTTATTTTGTTTTCATAAAGCCTAGGCCTTATAGAAACCGGATAATTCTGCCCATTGGCGCGTAACTTTGAAGATTTTCCTTAATATAAATATCTCTCCTCCCTTCTTCCCTAACAGCGCAAAGCCATGGCTTCACAAAACCCTAATTTTCGAGAGCTTCTAGGGGCCATGGCAAAAATAGAAGAAAACCCTAGTTCCAGACCTAAAACCAAGATCGTCTGCACTCTTGGCCCTGCTTCAAGATCGGTGCCCATGCTTGAGAAGCTTTTAAGAGCAGGCATGAACGTGGCCAGGTTCAACTTCTCTCACGGCTCCCACGCTTATCACCAGGAAACCCTAGATAATCTCAGGATTGCGATGGAAAACACCGGTGTTCTATGTGCAGTTATGCTGGATACTAAGGTGTGTTGATTGTATCTGGTTTCTGGTTTTTTGTTTGCTTTATAGATTCCTTTTGATGGCCTTTTGATCATAGATTCCTTTTGATGGCCTTTTGATGGCCTTTTGATTTGTTTTGGATTGGGGTTAGGCGTTTAGACTCGATTGGTGGTTTCTTTTTGGTTCTTGTATGTGAAACATTAGTTTTTCTGTGAATAGAGAGGGTCGATTGGTGGTTTCTTTTTGGTTCTTGTATGTGAAACATTAGGTTTTCTGTGAATAGAGGATAGAGTAGGAGAGGCAGTGGTACTGTTATTGATAACTATTGCATGCCCTAGAAAGTTATTTTTTGCCTGATTTAATCTCGTTCATTGTTGTTACTGGTGTTATTATGATTTATAATTCATAAAGAGATCCCCAACAAATCAACTATTGATGTCTGTGTACAAACAAGAGATTTTAAATTTCAAGAAACTTATCATTCTTGGATTACTTGGAAATGTATTTTCTCTGTGTTTGGGTAGTGGGCATTGGAGATTCAGATTCATACCTACAGAGAAAGAGATGCAAATACTCTGATTATACTTTTTTAAATAAATCCTTATACTCTGATTATCATTCTCCTTTACGTTTTTGGGGAGGTCATCTTTTGATGCAGGGAGAGAATAAAAAAAGAAAGATTGAGAGACTATACCCTCTCTCAAAGACCCACCCCAAAACAATATCTTCATGCGATCAAATTCTATTCAATTAATTTTGATTTACAAGGAACTCTCCCTTAAATAGACTGAAAAAAAGATGAACACTTTCTTATTTTATCTCTCTTCCCTATTTTCTTATTGGATAAAAACCTGGCTGGTTTCAAATCATATTTATATCCTGGCATGGATTGTAATCCAACATCCAATAGGTACACCATAGGCGCAGAGGATTAAGCCCAATTTTTTGGCAATTACCTCCAGAATCGCTAGCATTTGTCCAAAAGGCGGACCCATTAAAACTAGATTTAGTATTGGAGATTTTGTTGAGAGATTTTAAGAAAGATAACATTCCAGGGGGTGGGGGGATGTTGCCCCATCTATGTTGCTGGAGGAGATAAAGATTTATAAGTATTGTAAAAAAGAAAAAAGATGACAACCTAATGGTTTATATTTTCCTATTTATGATTTTTACTGTATATGGTATGGACTATGGATATGGTCTAATACTGAAGTTTAAACATCTGGGAGGCTAATTTGAAATCAGATCTATATCCTTGCATCCATTATGACCCTAACATCCACCATTAGTTTTATACCCTGAGTTATAACTGAAATCACCCTACTTTGGGAATGAGAAAGATAGCAGTTTGTCTGATTACCCCTAGGTTGCGGTGGTCTAAACACTGCATACGTCCAATTTTCCTCACCCATGTCATGATGGTCACAAGGGGCATTTTCTGATTTTTCCCATCCAGCAAAACAGTTTTATCAGATTGGGAATTAATAGTGTCACCCCCCTGAAACACCAATGTCTGATTACCCCTAGGTTGTGGTGGTCTAAACACTGCATACGTCCAATTTTCGTTACCCATGTCATGATGGTCACAAGGGGCATTTTCTTATTTTTCCCATCCAGCAAAACAGTTTTATCAGATTGGGAATTAATAGTGTCACCCCCCTGAAACACCAGAGTTGGTGCTCCTCCCCTTAAAACCACCTTCAAGTTGTAGCGTGACTTGAAAATTTCCAAATCATTCTGTCTCACCCTAAAACAGTTTCCCAAGTAGAACAAAAAGAAAAGGGATTCAGATATCAAAGGATGACTCAAGTACATTGTGACCTCAAAATCAAATCTGGACCTTCTTTTACAAGCAATCAGATCTGGGCCATTAATTTCAATGGGGCATGGGTAAAGGGGGACATGGAAACGAAATCAAACTTGGAGGAGATCGATCCTGAAGCAATTTGGAAATTTTTTGGCTCCACACCCCAAAATTGGTTTTGAGGTGAGTGGAATGTTAAATTCAGCGTTCCAGAGACACGCTCACCATTTCAAAATGTCGGTTTTCTATAACCCAAATATTATACCTGTGGGATATTGGTGTTACAAATGCTGATATCTCAGGTTGTTTTCTTTTAGGGAAAAGGGACAACAAGACATCACGACATCACTATTTCAAACACCGATATATTTGTAAACAAATTATTTTTAAAGATCTTAGGCTTCATGGCAGAGGGGCAAAATCAAAAAGCGCACCTCCTGCTATTCCTGACCCAAAATGGAAGGACTCTCTTCTAATTACATCGCTCATAAGGATGCAGCATCAAATTAAGCAATTCTAAAATGGTTCTTTGATTAAAAAAATACTTTGTATTAGAAATTGTTACGCTAGGGCCACTCCCTAGATTTAGAAAATGTGATACCTTTTCTAAATCTGAATCTGAGAATTTCAATCATCTTTTCCTTCTAACAAACGAAAATTCATTCCCTGAATGATAACTGAACTGACTAAAGCTTTGGTCAATTGTCCCAATTATTTGGCTCATCTTGCCCAATGGGTGTCCAAACTCTGGTTTTGATGCATATCCAGACTGCAAATCTTGGGATATGCAAACCAAGATTATTGGGGACAATGCTGGTTGGATATCTTCTAAATAGAACCCAGGACATCTAAATCCCTTATTTAGATCATCTATTTACAAACCCATAAAATATGATTGTAACAGGCAATCAAGGGGTCTTTCAGTCTCTCCACATCGACCTTGATCTACAGAGCTATTTTAAATGTATTGGTTTTCCAGCTATATGACTTCTAATGAGAGAATTCTAATGAGAGAAGCTTTTTAAATTAGAAATAGTAATCTGAATGTCAATTATCAGTTCCAATTGTTGTATCCTCTCAAAGTTCAAACATCAGTATGTGACTACTATGCCTCTAAATTTTACATTGGTTCATCATGGAAGGGGCCAGAAATTCGAACCGGTTTCTTGAAGGATGGGAAACCCATCCAACTCAAGAAGGGTCAGGAAATCACCATCACGACCGATTATAGCATAAAAGGAGATGGGAACATGATATCCATGAGCTATAGCAAATTAGCAGAAGATGTGAAGACCCAAAGCGCTATCCTCTGTGCTGATGGCACAATTACTCTCACAGCACTTGCCTGTGACAAGATCAAAGGCCTGGTTCGGTGTCGGTGTGAGAATACAGCCACTTTGGGTGAGAGGAAAAATGTCAATTTGCCGGGCGTTGTCGTAGACCTCCCAACTCTCACAGAGAAGGACAAGGAGGATATCTTGAATTGGGGTGTCCCCAACAAGATTGACATGATTGCTTTATCTTTTGTGCGCAAAGGTTCCGACCTTGTACAGGTCAGAAACTTGCTAGGAAAGCATGCCAAGTCCATCCTGCTAATGTCAAAGGTATGGTGTTTTGATTTCAGGTTTCACATAGGGAGTGCTTCCATCCATTTGCTCTCTCTCTCTCTCTCTCTCTGTCTCTCACAAAGAAAACTGAAACTTCTTTCACTCTAATCTGTAGGTTGAAAATCAAGAAGGGGTTGCTAACTTTGATGAGATCCTCGCAAACTCAGATGCATTCATGGTGGCAAGAGGAGACTTGGGCATGGAAATTCCCATTGAAAAGATCTTCCTAGCCCAGAAGGTGATGATATACAAGTGCAACATCAAAGGAAAACCAGTGGTCACAGCCACCCAAATGCTCGAATCCATGATAAAGTGCCCTCGCCCCACGCGAGCAGAGGCCACCGATGTGGCCAATGCTGTTCTTGATGGCACCGATTGTGTAATGCTTAGTGGGGAAACAGCAGCTGGAGCTTATCCTGAGCTTGCGGTTCAAACCATGGCCAAAATTTGTAGAGAAGCTGAGAAATCCATCGACTATGGATCAGTATTTAAGATGACTATTGAGGCAGCTCCAATGCCCATGAGCCCATTAGAGAGCTTGGCTTTCTCAGCAGTTAGGACTGCTAACTCTTCAAAAGCGAAATTAATACTGGTTCTCACTAAAGGGGGGAGCACTGCAAAGCTAGTGGCTAAGTACAGACCTGCCATTCCCATATTATCGGTCGTTATTCCTGAGATCAGCACTGATACTTTTGATTGGTTTCACAGTGATGAAGCCCCGGCGAGGCATAGTCTTATTTTCAGGGGTTTGATCCCAGTTCTGAGCGCGGGTTCAACAAAGGCTTCATACTCAGAGGCCACCGAAGAGGCAATACTTTTTGCTCTCCAATATGCAAAAGATAAGGGCCTTTGTAAGATTGAGGATGCGGTGGTTGCATTGCACAAAGTAGGATCTGCTTCTGTTATCAAGCTTTTGACCATAAAGTGAGAGAAAGGAGTTTGAGTTGTGATGGGCGAAGTCTTAATGTGTTTCCTATGTTGTGCTCTTGGTTTTGGGGCGTTTCTTGTAGGTCACCAGAAGCCTACCTAAAAACCTACCCCAAAAATTTTGAGGAATTTTAGTAGCTTTCTTTCTTTGTGTGATTTTTTGGTGGTTGGGGTTTGGAAAATCAAAAGATGGTGGGGAAGGCCTTCAGTGCCTGAATTTATTTATTTTTGTTATTATTGATTCCCACCAGATTAGTAGAAAATGAAACATTGAAGCTGTAAGTTCAGCAAAAAATTTGATTAAATACATGTAAGTTCTCTCTCACACCACATAGTTGCATTTAAAAAGATCAAGCACAATGATTGTTTATAACTTCTAAGTTCTAATCATGAAGCCCAAAATCCAAATGATTGTTCATAACTTCTAAGTTCTAATCATGAAGCCCAAAATCGAAAGAGAACAAAAAGGAATAGAGGGTTGCATTGCTTTAAAAGAAATTTGATTAAACAGGCTCCTGTTTTCCGACTCTCTATATGTAAAGTCACATTAGAAAGATCAAGCATTCTCTCTTTATAAAGCTCTGCAATATAATTTCATTTGGATGCATGAGTATATATATCTACCAAAGCATGCTATGAGACCCCCGCCATTCTACAATAAACCCACAGCAAAAAAACTCAAAAGTTTCTTCACCATTATCATCTCTCTTCTAAACAAAGCAAAGGGAATGAAGAACCCAAAAAAAGAAATATCCATATTCTTCGGCAAACCAAAGCCAGTAAATTTAAACGCTATATACAGAAGAAGTTACTACTACACATGGGGCTTCTTCAAGTTTCGTCTCTCTGAGGACTTGCAGATGAAGAAGATGAAGAAGGTGAAGATGAGTTACCAGCCTGTGATCCAGAGAGAGAAAACAACCCATTAAAAGGCCATGGTACAGGTACCCAAAACCTCCTGTTATTCTCTCTCTCCCCTTCTCCATTTTGCTCTCCTCCATCACCGCCATTACTACTATTGGTTCCAGTCCCTTGAGGCAATTTTGATTCATCAGCTGGTAATTGAAACCTGCAAACTGGACATGAACTGTGAAGCTCAAGCCATGGCAAAATACAACCAGAGTGAAACTTATGCTTACAAGGCAACTCTCTAGCTTCCGCACCCACTTCAAAATCCTCGATGCAAATCGAACACCTCTCACTCTCTCCAGTTTTCACAGTGGGCAAGGCCTCCACTGCTTCTTTGGTAGCAGGAGGAGTCCCATATCGATTGGGATCATTCTCAGCCAAATGTTGTAACAGAAGATCCAATCCAGGCCCTATGACGTAATCACCAAGTGACGAACCAATGTTTGTCGAGCCCGTTTGGTCATTGTTCTGGTTGGGGATTGGGTTCGCATCAAATGATCCTTGAAGGATTATTGCCTGGTTCAATGGGTTTATCAGAATGACTCCTCTCTCTCTCTCTCCATCTTGGTTCTCGGATTCAGCGATCCCATTCCGAAGGCTTTGGAGGAGTTGCAGAATGGCTGTGCTGTTTCTTCTCCTCCGAAGGCTCGGTTCTGGTTCCAATAACTCGGCTTCGCTATGGTGGGTCTCTTCTTCTTCATCTAATCTAAACCTTCTTCTCCTCCTTGATGGACCCATCATCCCTAAAAGGATTGGAGCCCATAGAGAGAGAGCTCTATCGGAGACTGCTTCATCTTCTTGCTCTCTCTCTCCTTCACCCCCGATCTCTTCCACAAAGCCATCCTCACAAAATGGGCATTTGATTTCCTCCATTATGGGGTTCACCACTTGGGAACACCTGTGGCACCAGTATCTGGCAACCAAAGAATCCCCCATGTCTGCAAATTTTCAGAGACCAGAAACATCAAGCAGTAAAAGAGGACAAGAACCCAAATTGAACAATAAATCAATGGAAAAGGGGTTTGACTCTAGATGGTTTTAGATAAACAAGGATGATGAAATAGAAATACATGCAAGTACAAAGAAGCATATAAGAGAGAATAAATTAGGAACACTTAATGAAATATGAGAGAGAGAGAGAGAGAGAGAGAGAGAGGAGAGAGGAGGGGGGGAGGGGGGGTAGGTAGGACGAACGAAGTAAA